CACTGGTCAAAGGTCAAATATTTAATATTTTATAACTCTATAAGAGTTGTATAAGATTGTATATATTTAGAATCTTCCTATTGTAAAGTTTTATTGACACGCCTTTTTTGTGTTCTGAAATAATTGTCAATGTCAATGTATGTTCTATTTATAATATTGATGACTTAATTTTTTTTTTTCAATTGTATGATTTGTATTGTGTTAGGCTATTTTGGCTTTTTGCACAATAAAGCGTTATTTATTTATTACTTATATATTTATTTAAATCAAAGACCAAAAATATATTTCATTTGGACAAATCATTTAAATCAATGATACTTTTATCAATAAGAGAGTATTTAGAATATAAATCATTTTGTGATTTATATCTTTTTAGAAAATATTTAAGATACTTTTTATGTATTTAAATCATTCAAAAATATTTAAATCCTTTTTTGTTAATTTAAATCACTTATATCATTACATGATTTAAATCTTCACTAACGATTTGAAACAATTAGTGATTTAACTCATTTTGTTAATAAAACACAGTGGCGGACTAAAGGGGGGGCGGAAGGGGCGGTCCGCCCCGGGCCTCTTCTTTTAGGGGGCCTCCAAATCTTAGTAAATTTTTTTTAATCAACTGGCAAACAAGGCCAATATGTGTTCAGTAGTTAGGAAGCAGTTTGTAGGTGGACTATGCAAACCATACTTATACGCCGACTATAAACAATATAAATGGAAGCAGATATTTACTTAATTATCAATTATCAGGCCCCAGTAGTTGTGATTGGCATTTTCTATTTAGGAAATTAAATAAAGGGATAATTTTCTTTGTTTAAAATATCGAATAATAATTATTTTTTATATATTTTGAGACTGAATTTATTTATTTTAGCTTTTAAGTTATTTTTCAATGGTTTCATTATTTATTTTTACTGAATAAACATTTTAAATTACATCCAATGCACAGCATAACTTGTATTCAAGATTCTTTAACTGATGATGAGCAGTGAAGTCTTTAGTGTAACGGGGGCCACGGGCCTGAGACAGAGAAGGAGCCCCTCGGATCTTGGAAGACTTACAAAATCGCGATGTTTTGTCGCGGTATTTCCCTGGAACGGTAGCGAAAGTAATGCGGGTCATATGTGGAGCCAGTATTTTCATCACTTTGTCATCATAAGTTGCCATTAAATACATGCAAACATTGTTTTATTCTATCAAATTGCATTCGTTTTTCAATTTGAAAATATTATAAGCTTTAAAAAATTGATGTTATCGTTTTTCTGCAGCCTTTTTGGAGCTGGGGCCCTTAATACTACTGGGGCCAGGGCCCATCAGATCCCTACGTAAAGACGGCACTGTTGATGAGTAACATATTTATATCTATATCGATTTTTATTATAATTATTACAGTATACAGAGTGTCCCAGGCTGAGCGTGCATTAGAAGTTTTTAGAGAACCACAATATCTAGATCGAAGTTTTTCGAGCACATTATTGTTTTACAACAAGATCTATCGATTAAAAATATTTTCAACATGGCGACACATCCGGAAATACCGGAATTTGACAGAAACTTTCATATTTTAAATGATGTAAATATAAAAAGTGGATTTCCATTTGAAAAAAAAAATGATTTATGATAATTTTTTAATCGCTCAATTCCATGACATCTGCTGCGGCCATTATTATATGACATTCGGACTATTTAATTTTTGGCATAGATAGCCACATGTTTTCTTTTTATGGTATAGTGGCTGTGGCAATCACTAAATTTGACGTTTAGGCTATACACATATTTTTGACAGGCAGTTTTTTCCTCCAAAAATTATAAATATTTTTTTTGCTCAAAAATGGTTAACGTTAGGTTAGAGTGTTTAATATCAAAATTCATAAAATTTTACAGAGAATTTAAGTCAGTAATAAAAAATGCGGTCACACGTTTGAAATAAGAAAGTTGCTGTCAACTTCCGGTACTTCCGAAAGTGCCGCCATATTGAAAATATTTTTAATCGATAGATCTCGTTGTGAAACAATGATATGCACAAAATCTCGGATCTAGATATTGTAGTTCTCTAGAAACTTCTAATGCAGGCTCAGCCGGGGACACCCTGTATAAATACTTCAATTTTGTCAACCATGATATGACCAGTCATTTAATTTTTACAAAATGTGCATTAGAAGTATATCATTATCTGAACAGACCGGGGGCCACATTTAGCTTCGTCGCCCCGGGCCCCCGATAGGCTTAGTCCGCCACTGATAAAACAATGAATAGTCTGATGATCTTGCTCTGAACTCTCAACATCATTCATCAACAATTATTACTGTTACCGACGCTACCGTTCGTTATTGGTATTATTATTTATTATTAAACTAAAATAAGTATTTTTTTGCGAAAAAAACTTAAAAAAATACAAGACATCGTTCACGTCTCGTTCAAGACATCGTTCACTGTCAATGTCTGTCCAATAGATTTTGTAATAAATACATATAAACCTTTAACGTTTACCGAAATAGGTTTATTAAAATTTTCAATGAACCTTTGCTATTTTCAATCTAAAAATAATACTAAACAAATTCACAAAACTAAATAAACAATATAACAAGATAAACAAGACAAGAAAACTATATCTAATATGTATGTAACTTCTACCCTGTATAAAGGTACCAATGGGAAAAGATCAGAATGAAATCATATCAGAATATAGTGCACTCGCTGCATCTTAGAAGCCTTATTCTACTTACCTAACAACAATTTTTTTTTCAAAATAATTCTCGCTACAGTCCTGCATTTGTCTGGTTGTTCATGACATATATATTATGATGTCATCGTTATATGTGGACTTCTACGTGATACGATTTATTGAATAATCTTTATCATGAACAGGATAGTATTCTAGGAATGGCTGTTGAATGAAATCACTGCCTAATATTATTATTTTTTTCTTCATTTTACTGGAAACAATATCTTTTGACCTTTGTCAAAAATTGTATGCAAAATAGACAGTAAAACATTTTGATAATGGTTTTATTTATAGCTATGTACTGTGTATTCTTTATAAATATTTTTAATTTTAAAAAGTGTAACATTTATGAATATTCTTGTAGATTTACAGGGTGACTCAGGCAACCAAAAAAAGCTCTATATTAGAATGTCGGTTTGTGAGTTTAATTTATTTTAAGTAATATGGGGGCAATGGTAACGCACATTTTGAAAATATTTTTGTCAACATACAGGGTGATTCAAACATGTTTTTAAACGAAAGCTGTGTATTTTTAAATGGAATACTATACCGGGTGCGTCTCAAAAGTGGTTCACCCCTATAACTTTTTTATTTATTCAGATAAATAAACGAGATTTGGTATGTTAGTATATGACATAAATTAGGATTGATTGACGTATTAAAATTGTTTTTGGTCACTTCCTGTATCGCCGGAAATAACTACAACTTTTGATTTTTAAATGGCACCCTCGGTATTTTTTTTACATTATTCGATAGAAAAATATATTCTGAATAGAATGGCATATCATATGTCAACTTTTGACATTTTCGCATATCGTTGGTGAAATGTGATAAACTGCTGCTAACTCCATTATTCCTAATTTTACGGGAGAGCAAAAAAACGGTACAAAAAAATATGTACACATGTAGGAAGTATTTTCATGCGTTAATATGATAAAGAGATAAGAATTTTATTTGCTGGGAAACAATAAAATTCAATATTTCGTGTTACATCATTTTTTCAGACACAATAGGGAGATAGCAGATATCCGTCTTGCAGAAATAAGAAATAAAAATATACTTCTGGAGATAACAACCTTTATTGTTTGAAATTTTGAAAATGGAATTGAATATTCCCAAACAGATTTAGAAATAATCAATTAAATTTAAAAAATATGATATTCATAACCATATATTTATAATATCGTCGGTCTAGAAGCAAAACGTACAAGTCCAAAAACGAATAAATTTTTAATACATTTTTAAAGAACTGAAGTAGCGGCATTTTGGACTTAATAAATATGAAAATAATTTAAAAATTAAACTTATAATTCTTAGAAGATATGGTAGAATCCTTCCAGGGGCGGATACAGGAATTTATTTTAGAGGGGGCCCAAATAAAAAATAATGTAGAATATGCTTTTTAGAGCGCCCATTCTTTACCCAAAAACCTAATATTTAACCCAATTTATGGTTTTTAGGGGGGCCTTGGCCCCATGGGCTGTATCCGCCACTGAATCCTTCCATGCTTATTCTAATTTTTTATACAACGGTCGTAGACCGAGCTTGGGAAGCAGTGCGGTCATTATACAGGGTTGTTCACCACATACGACACGGAGTATTGTAGCTAAACGATGAGATTTTTACAAATTGTAAGTTTTGGGTTCGATGAAGGACTATTAGAGGTACAATTTAAAAATAATTTTACAAGATACAGAGTGTCCCAAATAAGTAAAAAATATCAAAGTTGTATTTTTTTAAATGGAACACCCTGTATATTATTACATTTTTAGTTTCTACGATTAAAATAAAGGTAAATTTGATTAAGGTTTGTTATACTTAAACCTTACCGTTTTTGAAATATTTTCAATTTTGTGAAATTGCAGTAAAAATTTTAAAGCTTCATTTCTCCAAGGGTATCAATGTTTTTAATACTAAATATTTAATGAAGTTTATTTATTGATCAGTTATTGTGTTGCAATAATAAAAATAATACTACCTTATACAGAGTGTCTAAAAATTTATTTTAAATATTTATTAGCTTCAAACGGCAATAACTTCTTTAATTTAAATGGAATGCCCTGTATATTTTAGGAGAATCAGATGCACAATTAAATTGTCTATCAAATTGTATTATACCATTTTTTACCTGATGAGATATGATTAGAATGACGATTTGGGCACTTTTAAACACATATCTGATTAATATAGGGTAACCTCATAGAGCAAATCATAAGTATTAAGGAGATTTAAATAAATATGAATATATTTATAAGGAATAAAACACATAAGGTTCTAATATTGAAGAAATTTTTTTTTCGTAAAAAGTACTATTAATAAATGTAGGTAAATGTAAAAATTAAATAAGTATCTTGTAAACAATAAACTAACATTATTTGTATCCAAGGACGTGTTTGTGGTAGAAGAGGATATACCTGAAAGAATAATAACATATTAATACCTATTTAATCTATTATAATATACTATAAAGCTTCATTCGGAACCACCGAAATTAGTAGATTCAGTTAACGTAGAAGTTTTTGTTCATCTAATTTCAATGTAATCATTCAGAACGTCAAAATTAGTAGTAGTAATTTTCAATTAGTAGAAAAAGCTAACAAACTTTTAACTTTTCCACTAATTATACAAAATTAGCGAATAATGTAATTTTGGTTTTTGATTATCATCAACGAAATTGTGGTTAGAAATGAAAAGATTATTGTTTTACAAGCTAATTATAGTCTGTCCAACGACAAAATCCTTGACAGTAATAGATGCGTCTGTCATTTTAATTTCAAAGTAGTTAATTTTATTTTATGAAAAAATAAGTTGGTACAATTGGAACGCATAGTAGGAAATTAATATATTTTTAAAATCCGGAGTTTAACCATAGTTTTTTTATTGCAAATAATCAATCTTCATACAATTTTATGACACCCGTATTTTTTTATTTTACTTCAATTTCATCCCATTTTTTTAAAAAAATTAATCGATATTAAGAATTTCAAATTTACACTTTTGCAATCTCTGACGTCACCTATCAAAAGTGTCACGGTTTGCCACCAGGTACAAAGGTAAATAAAAACCATTTTTCTAAATGTATTTTAAAGTAGATATAAAATTAATTGTAAAATAAAACTTAACGAACTTACGTTAAAATGATCTTCACAGCAAAATCTCGTACTTTTGCTGACATATTGTTGTCTTGCCGCTTCAAACCAGGCTCTTCGACGGCTTTCATCCAAAGGAACAGTTATAAAAACTTTTTCTGAAGACCCTTCAGAGTTATTAAGCCAATAAGATAGCCCTTCACAAAACAAACTTTAATACCCTTCATTACAAAAATAATAAAGAGGGTACAAGAAAACAAAATTAAAAGCTCAAAGTATTTAACGCCAAACGCAAAATCAACAAAATACAAATCTATCTCGAACGCCTCGAACATCCGAACAACTTTGGTAGTGTTTAATGCTTCGATAAAAATGGCAGTAACCTGTTAATTATAAAAATTTAAGTTTTAATTTCTAGTAGTGAAAAATATAAAAGTAAATTTAATATTGGGGTAATAAAGAATAATCCCACATAAAAACGTATTTTTTAACGATTTTAATAAAAAAAGAAAAATCTAACGTGATTTTAAGATATATGGCGTAAATACGGTAGCAGAGAACTAGACACGCCATAATATTATGGTGGGTTCATACAGCCAAATAAAATAAAATAAGAATAAAATAAAATAAAATAAGAAAGTTGGTTATATGGGATACCGTACATGCGTTCATACAGCCAAATAAAATAACAAATAAAATAAAAAGTCTTTATCTTTTAACTTCTTGTTTTATTTTATGTGAAAACGGCTTTGCGCACGCTTAATTCTAACCTACAAATATTTTCAGTTTGGATTTAATTTATTTTTTAATTTCGCATAAGTAAAATGTATAATATAGTAGGCAACGAATAAATAAATATACTATAAATAGTAAAATTACTATAAACAATCGTAAAAGTTAACTTTTATCCAGCCTCATCGTACTGCGCATGAGCAAATATATATTTCTTATTTTATTTTATTTGCCTGTATGAACGCACACAAATAAGAATTCCTTATTTCTTATTTTATTTTATTCTTATTTTATTTTATTTGGCTGTATGAACCCACCTTTATTCTTCAGAGGGTGGAGCGCCCTCTGTCAACTATTCAGTCAAATGCTGATAGGTGACGTCACAATTTTCTACGCGTCATTTCAAACCAGTGAAATTTGTATTGAATTTGATTTATTATTTATTCCTTAATTGTAACTTCGTTTTCGCATTTCTTTTTGTATTGAAGGAGTACTTTTTAATCACTTTAATTGAATTTTATATTAAAAATAACAAATATTTACTATGGTTAAACACCGGATTAGAGTGACAAATGATTAATTCAAAATATTGTTAACAAAAAACTGTATAATACTGAAAAAATCAAATCAAGTTATTTTATTTCAAAAAAAAATTAAGGCATGTGTTAATACAAAACAAACAAGAACAAAACACCACACCAAAAAATATAAAAAAGGACTATTTCTTACTTTCTAGCTTCAAGAAAGTTCCTGCATTTATTATTATATTTATCAACATATAACTTATGTACAAATAAAATTTTGTAATGTTCCACAGAAATAAATAAAACAACATAAATAAATTAAAATATTTTATTAATAATAACACTTACCAAATTGTATATCTTAGAAGTTGATTAATTAACTTTAATCTTAATTTTTTTAAACCACCTTACCTTTTGATATTATCTTTCTGCAGTACTAAAATCCCTTATTTACCTATTAGTTCAGTCATTGGGGATCAAAAAAGGGGTCTGCTTGGAAAAGTCCGGAAGTTTTGAAACTTTGCAGGTTTATAGCACAGTTTAAAGAATATAAAATATATTTTATATTCTTCAAACTGTGTTTATAGGTTTTGGGGTCCCTAACTAAAATCCATAAAATGCATATGTCCAGACTTTCCGGCGCCGCCACAACCTACATATATTTCAACGTTCGGTCTGTATTCGCAGACAACACTACAGGAAGAAAAGTCTTGCTAATGGCGAAATCATTAAATATTTGTGAGAGTGGACTATGACAAGGAAGTATGATTCATGCGGCGTTTCCCTCAATTCAGGAATATCGGGGTAGTAAATCATCTAACAAATACGGAATTTTTCCAAAAAGTAAATTTATTTCGCCCAAAATTTGTCTTTATTGTATTGCAAAATAAAACACTAAATCACCACAATACACCAAAACACTTTTACTTTTACACTGGACGCGCGTTTCGCTAACCATGTTAGCATCATCAGCAGATGATTATAAACTAAAATACATCTACAATTGGAGTATTTATATACTCGCTCAGTGGGCACAGAGTGGGCGTGGCAAGATCTAGCCAACCCAGTCAGAACCCACTGAGCGTAACAGTTAGATTTCCGCCACTAGAGTAGTAGGAACAAAGAACTTGAAGGAATTGGACCGTTGTCTCTGTTCATACTATCTTTACATTTATTAATCCTGATGCTTTCATATGCATCTAATTGCCTGTAATTTGAGACTTGTTTAAGTAATTTTAAGTTATTAAGATCTATACAATGTTCTTTATCAACAATATGTTCGGCAACGCAAGATTTATCAGGTCTACCATATCTTATCTGAGCTAAATGTTCTTTAAATCTAGTTAATATTGATCTTCTAGTTTGCCCAACATATTTCTGATTACAATCTTTACAAGAAATTTCATAAATACCCGACCTTTCCAGTAGAGGTGTTTTATCCTTTGATTACCTAATAATTGTTGTAATTTATTATTAGCACTATACACAAGTTTATAATTGACATTCTTAAAAATTCCTTTTATACTACGGGATAACTGTCTCTCAAACGGTATTGAAAAATATTTAGACGTATCTTTCTCCACTTGAAAAGTCGAATTTTCAGAAATCATTAACCTATACCTATGTTTTCTAATTATTTTATCAACTACTGAAGGAGAATATCCATTACACTCAGCTAATCTCTTTCTATTTCATATCTTTACATATCTTTCGTTGGAAAGTGGAAAACTAAGTAATCTATGAACTAAGAAATTTAAACTAGCCATTTTATGTTCAATACTATGATATGATTCATTAGGAATATATCTATAGGTATTTTTCCTATAGATATAAAATTCCAGGCAATTATTAGTATTTCTAATAACTAATACATCTAGAAATGGTAATCTGTCGTTGTTCTCAATTTCATGTGTAAATTTAATGGAAGGAAAACGATTATTTAACTTAGAAATAAAATTATCTATGGTGTCTGAATGTGTGTCAAAAACAGCAAAAATATCATCCACATACCTAAACCATACTCTTGGAAAATACTCAAACTGATTCCTAGCCTCCACTTCAAACCTGCTCATGAATAAATTAGCCAAAAATGGAGACAATGGATTACCCATTGCTGTACCTTCCCGCTGTTCAAAAAAGTTGTTATTAAATTGAAAACAATTTTGTTTCATACATAATGATGTAAGGACATTGTATAGATCTTAATAACTTAAAATTACTTAAACAAGTCTCAAATTACAGGCAATTAGATGCATATGAAAGCATCAGGATTAATAAATGTAAAGATAGTATGAACAGAGACAACGGTCCAATTCTTTCAAGTTCTTTGTTCCTACTATTCTAGTGGCGGAAATCTAACTGTTACGCTCGGTGGGTTCTGACTCGGTTGGCTAGATCTTGCCACGCCCACTCTGTGCCCACTGAGCGAGTATATAAACGTTCCAATTGTAGATATATTTTAGTTTATAATCATCTGCTGATGATGCTAACATGGTTAGTGAAACGCGCGTCCAATGTAAAAGTAAAAGTGTTTTGGTGTATTGTGGTGATTTAGTGTTTTATTTTGCTGTGTAACACCAAAGGTTCCAACCCTCAACTGTAATCTTTATTGTATTGACAAGGAAAAAAATCACGACTTTTGATGGCCAAAGGTTTAAAACCAACAAAACGAACGGTAGATCTAAGGAATGACTTTTCGAGGGTCAGCGCTGGACGCCCCTGGTCATCTCCCTTATTCGATTTCGCTATTTAGCCAGTTTCCAGGAGACATAGCAAATATCGACTGGGAGAGTGCATTTGCAGGGGGGCGACAATAATAGAAACTTTGATTAACACCCGCATTTGTAATTACAGCTGCCCTTTATTAGTTTTTCAAGAAATCAATACTTTTTAATTACGGGCTTGTTCAGTTTATGCTTTTGCGTTGACGTCAGATGTATGTATGTATATACTACATAAGGTTGCCTATTTCATCTACTACTATCTTCTATTTGATACCATTTTCTCTGAACAATATTTTACATATTTATAAAAATATTTCTGTCTTTAATAAAGATTAATATACAGGGT